GAAATTTTTGGGAAATTTTTTTTTTTTTTTTTTTTCTTGTCCCCAACAGGGAGATTTCCCTTCTTGTCCTGCTATTCTCTGATTTCATTGCACACTGTGAGCCTTTAGAAGCTGCACAAGTCAGAGCCCACCTCATTTCCTGGCTGGAGGATATCCAGCATCATCTAGCCCAAGCGTGTCAAACGGGCGGCCCTCCAGATGTTGCCAATGGTCAAATCCCATGAGGCATTGCAAGACTGACCGTTACAAGCATGACTCCCAAAGGCAGAGGCATGATGGAACTTGTAGTTTTGCAATAGCTGGGGGGCCGCCAGTTTGACACCCCTGATTTCTAGCCCTTTCCTCCCCAGACTGTCCCTGGCCCGCCCCTTTCATTCATTGGAGTTAAGTTCTTTCAATCATGGCGGCTCAGCATCACATGTGGTCTGCAGGCAAATAAACCTTGCCTAGGATAGCCCTCGCCTAGGATAGCCCTCGCCCAGGATAGCCCTCGCCTAGGATAGCCCTCGCCCAGGATAGCCCTCGCCTAGGATAACCCTGGCCTAGGATAACCCTCACCAAGGATAGCCCTGGCCTAGGATAGCCCTGGCCTAGGATAGCCCTCACCAAGGATAGCCCTGGCCTAGGATAGCCCTGGCCTAGGATAGCCCTCACCAAGGATAGCCCTGGCCTAGGATAGCCCTGGCCTAGGATAGCCCTGGCCTAGGATAGCCCTGGCCTAGGATAGCCCTGGCCTAGGATAGCCCTGGCCTAGGATAGCCCTCGCCTAGGATAGCCCTCGCCTCCAGATTGATACCCACCCTTCAAGGCGTTTTGATATTTGCATAACTCCTCCCATGAGCTGGCCCACTGCTTGCATCAGGGCTCTTGATAGGAATACAGGGTGCTGTGAAGTTTTGAAGAAGAAGCAGCTTTCTACAACACCCTGCTGGCCCCTCCCGCCAGTCATGATCTGACTGCATTGCAAAGAGAAGCATAGAGACCCAGTGATGAGGTAGGTATCCAAGTAAAACCTACAGATTAAAGTGGAGCTATACTTGCCTTCACTCCAGCGATTCTGTGTCCTGGAGCTTCTAGTTGGCTGCTGACATCTTTTGGGTACCAACAGCCAGCTGCTCTCATTGGCCGATGCCATTGCCCCACTAACAGAGCAAAAATCAGCCGATTTATTCTTTCGGACAAAAAAATCAGCCGATAAATGAACAGTCTATGGCCTGCATAACTTTCTAATGCAGAAGTGACTTACTATAGGGGTAGATTTACTAAAACTGGAGAGTGCAAAATCCGGTGTAGCTCTGCATGGGAGCCAATCGGCTTCTAACTGCAGCCTGTTCTATTAGCCTAGGTTCACATGTATGTAGATTGCAGACTGTGCGATTTCACAGTGCATTTTTCACCTTTTATGGTGCGTTTTTTTTTTTTTTTTTTTTTTTTTTTTTATATGTGTACCTTCTTGTGTGTACCTCATGAGCACGTAGCCAGTCTATGGGAGCCAGAATTATTGTTGTGGATGCCTAACATCTGACTTGTATCTTCGTGCAGACTTCTGGGAAAATCGGTGAACCAATTACACAAGCAGTAAATTAAGTTTCTATGGGGCACTCTGTACATTCTCTGTGTACAGAACACCTCCAGCTACACATATTGCATTGCATTTTAAAGAAAATGACAGTGCTGCAGATTGAAAAGGAAAGAGCCCACGTTAGAGATGACCCAACGCGGTGATACACACTAAGGGACCCCAGAGAATCTCACACAGACACCTGCCTAAGGACCCTAAAGGTGTGTATAGGAACCTGGCCAAACCTGGGAGCAGATGACCCGAGCATACCTGATATGAGAGGATATATCTCAAATGTGTATTTAGAGCGCGCTTCGGGTGAGTGCGCATTTTGCTTATTCAGTCACTTCATCTGTCACCCCTGGATCAGTTACCCACACACGTTGATTGTGATCTTGAAGGGATCCTCACGCCTTCATTTTGGGACAATTTATCACCGTTATTATCACCTTATGATGATATACCTTACACTCTATATTTATTTATGTATTTATTTACGTTTTTATTTAGGTGTTTATTATTATTGTAATATTGATGACCACTCTGCACTTTATTATGCATATTATCTTGTTTTTAGCGCTGCACCTTTTATCTGTTATTTGCATTGGAAGGTTGTTTTGGTTACCTTTTGGTGTTCTAGCGGCTATTTCTGGAAGTAGCGCTCGCTAATATTCTCTTTGGTAGTACCAATATGGTCAGCCAAAGTTGCAAACCTAAATGTGCAATGGGATAATCCGAATATGGAAAAGCGTTCTCTGATTGGACGAGGTGGAGAGGCTGGGTGGTAATGTCATACTCTTCACTTCATCTAATCAGAGAACACTTCATTCATTCAGGAAATGCAAAACATTCAGTGAATAGTGTCCCGCTGAACAGCCATCCTCTTGTGTTCACGATGCAGCAGGGCAGCTGTTCAGTACGAGACCCAGAAGCTAGTGGAGATCATCGGAGTAGCGATGTCTTCTACAGTGAATTCCAGCTTTGAGTATTCTAGTTTGTGATCTCATTTGCCTTTATTTATTTTCCATCTTTTTCTTTGTTTTTGCGCCCTCATTGAAATTCCCCTCAACATCTGTATGGTCGCTTTACTGACCTAACACTCCCCTGAGATGAAATGCACTAATTCCAGAACGACATATCCTAGTTCTCCTCCATGGTAATTGTGTTAGAATGTTCCTGGACAGTTCTGAAACCAGCAGAGCTCTTCATGGGAAAATATGTGGGTTTAATGAAATCATTCCTGGAAACAAACCTTTACCACACTGTCCATATTTACAGCTCATGCATACATTGGGGGAGATTTACTAAAACTGGAGAGTGGAAAATTTGGTGTAGCTGTGCATGGTAGCCAATTGGATTCTAACTTCAGCTTGTTCAACTAAGCTTTGACAATAAAACCCGGAAGCTGATTGGTTTCTATGCAGAGCTGCACCAGATTTTACACACTCCAGTTTTAGTAAATCAAGCCCATTAGGTGTATGTTGGTATAATTTTTATCTCCCTTTTTAAATATCCTAGATTTGGTTTGCGTTCACAGCTGCCTCTTGACATGGAGTGGTCATTGGGATATCCACAAAGTAGAAACAGAGCTGGAAATATCCTTAAAGGATAAATCTCACTTCTATTTTATTTATTGTGTTCTGTTCCCCAGAAGTCAAAGCACATGTAGTATTTTGTCCCATCTTTATGTGCTATCTAAGCCAAGCTGTGAGATTGAACTGGACGCCGCTCCTCCTCCATCCACAGCTGCCTCTTGACATTGAGTGGTCATTTGGATATCCACAAAGTAGAAACAGAGAAGTGAGATTTCTCCTTTAAGGATATTTCCAGCTCTGTTTCTACTTTGTGGATATCCCAATGACCACTCAATGTCAAGAGGTAGCTGTGGATGGAGGAGGCGCGGCGCCCAGTCCAATCTCACAGCTCGGCTTAGATCGCACATAAAGATGGGACAAAATACTACATGTACTTTGACCCCTGGGGAACAGAACACAATAAATAAAATAGCTGGAAATATCCTTTAAAGGAGAAATCTCACTTCTGTTTTATTTATTGTGTTCTGTTCCCCAGTGGTCAAAGTACATGTAGTATTTTGTCCCATCTTTATGTGTGATCAAAGCTGAGCTGTGAGACTGAACTGGACGCCGCTCCTCCTCCATCCACAGCTGCCTCTTGACATTGAGTGGTCATTGGGATATCCACAAAGTAGAAACAGAGCTGGAAATATCCTTAAAGGGGAACTCTCACTTCTATTTTGTTTATTGTGTTCTGTTCCCCAGGGGTCAAAGTACATGTAGTATTTTGTCCCATCTTTATGTGCGATCTAAGCCGAGCTGTGAGATTGGACTGGGCGCCGCTCCTCCATCCACAGATGCCAGACCACATAGCTGGCAAGGAGACTGCTGCTTTAAGAGATGGCATTTTCTCTATCTCCAAGCACTTGCCAACCTGGTGGAATGTTTTAACTGTCAAGACCCCCCTCTTCACCATTCTGCGTGAGATATTTGTCTCAGGCAGGTGCTTGGCGATGATGAAGAAAAGTGTCCTCTGTCAAAGAATCCATCTCCCTGTTACCTGTGTTATTAGGCATCAGTGAAGGGAAGAGGGGCGCCTTGCCTGACTTCACCGCTAGCTTTAGACAGCATATAAGAAGATGGGACAAAGACTGTCCATTGTCCCCTGGGGAAAAAAAACGCGTAAAAAAAAATTTTGATGTGAAAAATCTTCTAAACCTTTGGAAGTCAAGGTTGCATGAATACATAGCCACAATGGTGTGTTTGTTTTTGTTACCACATTTTTAGTGCATTCACTCTCCAGAGAGCACATCATAGTGACCACACCAGTTCATAAATGTGTAGGATCAATACTGGTAGGTCGGAGTAGCAGTCCAGCCAAAACAACAAGAGTACTACAGGGTTGTGTGCAGGGAATAGTGAGGGGAGTCTAAAGACTCACGATAGTTCAAAAAACATGAAACTTGTCTTAATCTTGTTTCGTGTTCTGTGCAGTTAAAGGACTTTTGTACCCAGGATTGTTTGACAACTAGGAGGGGGGTTTCCTTTACTTTGGAGAGATTTTCTTTCACTTCCTCTTGTGTTTCTGGAACAGGAAGTGAAATATCCCCAGCAGGGGTGGACTGACAACTCATGGGGCCCCCGGGCAATAGGGGATCATGGGGCCCCTGTGTCCTTGCCCACACCCAAAAAAGCCAATGAAAGGTACCAGGGGCATCTCATGAGGCCCCCTACTGACCCCAGGCCCTTGGGCAGTGCCTGAGTGCTCGAATGGTCAGTCCGCCCCTGATCCCCAGTAAGGGCAGGGATTAAAAAAAAAAAAAAAAAAAAGGTTTGGCTTGACAGTATATGGAATGCAAATCTATAACTTGTGCATATTACAATTGTTATGGAATTGTTCTTATTGTTGTTTAATTTTGTCTTAGATCCTAACATCCCCAATGTGCAAGTAATTCGGATGGAGTTGGTATGTACTGAGGCCCCAGCACCCATCAAAATGGAATTAGCAGGTACAAACTTTACATTTCTGAAAATGTATTGCTCACTCTTGTTTACAGACAGCAGCCAATCAAATATTTTTTTTTTCTAATTTAACCTAGAAAAAATGACAGCTTTAATCTGATTGGTTAGTATGGGGAACAAACTTCTCTTCAACTGTTGGGTATTGGGCTTAGTGCAGGATATCTAGTCACATTTAAACCAATGTTATTGATTATTTTTACTCCAGTCCAATGTGGGCCATACATGCGGGAATGTTTAGGCACATTCAACCACATCTCAAATGCAAAAAAAAAAAAGAATTATGCTGTCTCTGTTGTTTTACAATTTCCATAGAAACTCTTTTGGATAGATCACCTTGAGCGATACAGTTAGAAAGCTGGATGTTTCCTAAAATTTCTGGATGGGTCTTACTAGTGTGGTTTTTTTCTTCCTTTTTTTTTTTTTTTTTTTTTTTTTTACATTCAGTCAAAAAAAGGTTTGTGGTAGATAATTTAATGCCTCCGAAAAGCCTTTTATTTTACCATTTATTGGACTTTAGACCATAAGCAGGCAACCTTGACACTCCATAGGCTCTCTGACAACCATAGGCTTGACACCCAGAGGCAGGACCACGATGGGATTTGTAGTTTCACCCCAGCTGGAGTGCAGAGGTTGGTTCACCCCAACTCCAGACTCAAAAGCAGTCAAAAAGAATTCCAGACAGAAGTCATTTCTTGCAGTCTAGTGGAATGGTCACGCTTAAAAATGCCGGGACAATTAAGTGCAACAGACTGCACTGTAACTAATAAAATCTGATAATAGATATTAGCACACCTGTAAACTTCCAAATTTCAAGTTTATGTAAACCTAACCATTAAACTTCTTTTTTTTCCTCTCTTGGTGTGTTAAATATAGAATGTAAACCGTTCCAACAGAATTATTGTCAGCTGATGAGAGATCTGATAACACGGTGCTTCTGCTGAAATTAAACCTCAAACATTTATCAGCCCTGACCAGTTTCAGGACTTACTATGGTGGCCATAAGACTTTAGGTGGTCAGCTCTATAACCTTGGACTACCTTATACGTGACCACCTCTCTTGTCTTGTAGCACTATGGATGGTCAGGGCTTTTGCCTTGGAGCACTGAAGATGGTCAGCTCAATTCTCATGGAGGACTATGATAGGTCAGCTCTCTTGCTGTGGAGTACAATAATTGGTCAGCCGTCTTGCCTTGGAGTTATACGATTGATCAGCTCTCTTGCCTTGAGGTACTATGATTGCTCAGCTCATTTGCCTTGAGGTACTATGATTGGTCAGCTCTCTTGTATTGGAGCTTTATGATTGGTCAGCTCTCTTGTATTGGAGCCTTATGATTGGTCAGCTCTCTTGTATTGGAGCCTTATGATTGGTCAGCTCTCTTGTATTGGAGCCTTCTGATTGGTCAGCTCTCTTGTGTTGGAGCCTTATGATTGGTCAGCTCTCTTGTATTGGAGCCTTATGATTGGTCATCATTGGAGCACTTTAGGTGGTCAGTGCAATTGTTTTGGAGGACTATGATTGGTCAGCTGTCTTGCCCTGTAGTTTTATAATTAGGTCTGCTGTCTTGCCTTTGCGTACTATGATTGGTCGGCTTTCTTGCCGCGGAATTCTACGATTGGTCAGCTCTCTTGCCTGCAAGTTCTCTGATTGATTGGTTAGCTCTCTTGCCTTGAAGTACTATGATTTGGTCAGCTCTCTTGTATTGGAGCCTATTGATTGGTCATCAGTTCTTTTGGAAGACTATGATTAGTCAGCTGCCTTACCATGGAGTTCTATAATTGGTCAGCTTTCTTGCCTTGATGTACTATGATTGGTCAGCTCTCTTGCCTTGGAGTACTATGATTGGTCAGCTTTCTTGCCTTGCAGCACTATAATTGGTCAGCTGTATTGCCTTGGAGTTCTTTAATTGGTCAGCTCTCTTGTCGTTGGATCTTTACGATTGGTCAGGTCTCTTGCCTGGTCAGCATGCTTGTCTTGGAGCATGGTAATTGGTCTATGCTCTTGCCTTGAAGCACTATGGGTGGTCTGCTCTTTTGACATTTAACTATGTATAACTATGATTGGTCAGTTTTTTTGTCTTGGAGCGCTAAACGCATGAGTTTGACTACTTCCATGGAGTTTTCATGTGGGGGTTATCCTGGAGATTTGGTTTCCTCCTGGAATTTCAAGATTGGTTACTTGGTGTTGTAACACATTGGTTATAATGTGTGGGGCATTGGTTTGATTGACCACAGACAAATGTATATTGTATTGTATCCAAAAAGTAGTTTTTTAGGTTTCAGATTTAAGGTGTTGAATCACAAGACCTGCCCATAAATGATGAATTTAAAAACCAACAAATACCAACAGGATAAATACAATATGTTGTCAAAATCTACTAAATTATAGGAACATGTGCCTTATTAAACGCAAAGGATGGTTAAAAAAAAAACAGTGCTCTGTTGTCCTCTGGTGTGATTTCATTATTATATGCTATTCATAAAACATACAAACATACTGTATTTCATGGAAAATATTTATTACAGCTTACCAACCCTTAGATGTGGGAACTTTTATTTATCACTTGAGGCAGCCATGGTTGTCATCCAGACTTGACTTCAAATATGGAAAAGAAAAAGTGCAGCGCTTATAAATTCTACGGTGCTAATCAAACATACAATGCCATAGCAAATGCATAAAAACGAATCACAGGTGACTGTAAGTGAATATATACAAAAATTTCAGTGAAGCGGCGTGGCGTAGCGCTGTAGTGCACAAATAATAAACAGTGCCACGCTGAAATGACAGCGCCAAAAGGTGACAAATAAGTGACAGATGGATGAACAATCCAATAAATGTAATGTATGAAACTCAATAAATAAAAAGTCCAAAAGAAATATTCGTGATGTCGAGTGAAGCGTGAATCCGTGATAGATCCCTCTGTATAATGCACTCACCAGAAGCACGTAAAGTATGCGCATAGAAATCAAAGGACTTTAGCTCCTCCAACAGGTCAGCCTCATCCACATTCATACACAGTGTGAGGAAATCCACAGCAGGTATATACCAGAGCAGGAACTATATCCAGTAAAATGTTCCACTTTCAGCACACACCAAAGGAGCTCAACCTTGAAGGGAATAGCTCAACAAACGAGCCCAGAAAGAAAAGCGCTAATGGTGTAGTAATGTATTGAAAATTCAATAAGCATCCACGTGGAGCAATAAAAACAAGTGTGTTCCACTTACAAAGATGGCCACCGGACCTTCGTGAGGACGCAGCGGCGTGACAGCAGTACGAAGGCTCATCCTGACGCGTTTCGTGCGCACGCACGTTATCAAAGGGGTCCCCCTCCGGCCCGGCGGCTATCTTTGTAAGTGGAACACTCTTGTCTATATTGCTCCACGTGGATGCTTCTTGAATTTTCAATAAAACAGCTTGATTCCCCTATCAATACAGTCTGTGTTTGATGAGGGAATCCCTCTCGTGGAGCTGTTGTGTTCTCTCGGCAGGGGGAGCCATCCCCACTGGGAGAACACCGTGATTACTGCTAGTGGCTCTAATATCGATCAACTTGGGTACATTCAGCTTGCCCATACATGGTCCCCGGCCAAGATTCAAACCGTCTATGGCCGGCTTAAAGGATAAGTTCCCTTGAGAGACCATGTTGCACCCATATTTAGAGTGTCATTCGCTCCAATTCTCCGCCTTCCCGCCGACAGAACTCCCTTGTCTGTAACAGCAGGCGAAGGATTTTCTCACCGCACCTGCTGTCACATTTTGAAAACGGCGTGGCTGTGCAGGGCTCCGCCCACACAGTAGTCACATTATTCATTCACAGGGATCTGTGAATGAAAAAACTACAAGTCCTTTTGGTCACTGTGGCAGGCAGACATGTAGTATCCATGGACTGCAGGGGAGTTGATCAGAATCCCCATAGTTCAATCATGCTGCCTAAGGCTCAGGAACTGTCTGTATATTCAGAGGTAAGGCAGAGAGCTCTAGGCAGTGTCTGCAGGAGCCTGGCATTGCACCCGCAATCCACTGATCATGGGTACAATGCTCTGCAGGTTCCAGTGGGGGAAAAAAATAAATGCACAATTTTTTTTCTCCTGCAAGAATATGTGCCTTTATTATTATTTTCACAAACTTATGCGGGCCATAGACTAGATGAAAAACGACCAAAAATCGGCTGATTTTCGAATCGTTAGTGCGGAAATCGGTCAGCCGGTTTTAGATTATCGCTCCTGCTGGAAAATAATCAACCAAATTTGTCGTTTTGGCGATTTTCGTGGCAATGATGGACAAATTTGCCGATCTTTTTTCGCTTTTTAAAAATGTGCCTGAGCAGTGACATGAAAGAAGGAAAAGAAGAAAAGAAAAAAAATAGAATATGAAGAAGAAGAAAAAAAGAATTTCAGTCCGATATTATATTTTACATTTAAAAGTATAGCAACATTGTATCCGAATAGAAACATCTGTATCCGAAATGGATACAAATAGATACAATGTTGCAACATTTTCTTCTGCATATTCTATTTCTTCTTTTTATTCGTATTCTATTTCTTCTTCATATTCTATTTCTTCTTTTTATTCGTATTCTATTTCTTCTTCTTCTCATATTCTATTTCTTCTTTTTTTTCGTATTCTATTTCTTCTTCGTCATATTCTATTCTTTTTCTTCATATTCTATTTCTTCTTCTTCGTCATATTCTATTCTTTTTCTTCATATTGTATTTCTTCTTCTTCTGCCTATATGCTATATAATTGCCGGCCGTAGACGAGATGAAAATCAGCCGACCTTTTTTTACCAATAATGGTAATGTCGGCTGACCGATTTTTTTTTTTTTTTTTTTTTTTGTTTTTTTTTTTGTTTCTTTTTAAAAAACGTCCAGTTTTCTCCCCATCTATGGCCTGCATTAGCCTTTTAATAGGGAGCAACAAGGACACTTCTGTCAAAATCAATAGGTATTTTTTGTACTTGCTGAAAATTTTCCGAAAGTAGAAATGAGTTCAACCAGCACATTGTGATGCTGCAGTTTTTACAATTTTTGTATTTGGGTTTACCCCTGGTTCACATGTATGCGGCCGTGCGGGCACGAGAGCCCATTCATTTGAATGGACTCCCGTTCCCCATGACACGCAGGGAAGAAATCCCTGCACTTCTTCTGAAAACCTCGGTTCCCAATACAGCTGCGTTTTCCAGTGCGGACGGCGTGCCATTAGAACTAATGGCGCCCGCCCGCGGGTCCGCATTCCTCTGTGCGGGTGGTGCGGCTGCATGGATTTTCGTGCGGATCCTCAGCCGCATCACCCACACAGATGTGAACCTAGGGTTAGAGACTTCACGCTCCGTTCACATCAGGCGATTTGGAATCACAGACAGAATGTGCAGCACATGTTTGGGTGCCGTTTTTCTTAGTGACACGGTGCGATTCTGCCACTATTATTGTGGGACAAAATTGCACAGCAATCGTGGCAAAACATGAGTTTAAAAGTTTGCAATAGGCTTGTCGCCCAATAGGGAGCAGGAGCCTCTTTTGGGGAACAAATACGCATAGGGCAGCCCATTGAACAATCACATGCAAATCAGTCATCATTTGTTAGACATGCATTTCTGCTGAATTTTTTGTTGCTATTCTGTCTCTGTGTTACAATACACCGAACATTCGATTTTTACACTGATCATTTCTTTGTGAGTGGGCGAACGTTCAACATCAGCAGGGGATCAAATACTTATTTTCTTCACTGTATCTGCATGTCTGTGTCCACATTGATGCTACTTTAGGCCCATTTTAATAACAAAAAAAAAAAAATCTCTTGAATAAAAATACAGACCCCACTATCTCTGGCGCACAGAACTGTCCCCCTTGTGTGTTTACCACCTCTGATTCAATATGGTACTGTATGCGTTGCATTAACTGATGCTAATTTTATATTTGCAGGCAATGTAGGAACATTGAAAGAGCACATCTATATCCTAAAGGAGGGTTCCAGTTACAGGATTAAAATTACATTTATGGTAAGGTTAAAGCATTAAACATTCTTCCAGGCTCCTCCTTATGTTCAGCACATGGCTGTGCTATTTCCCTTCTTGCATGCACCCCATTTCCTGCCAACATCACTTCCTGTTTAACTAGCCTTTTTGAACCAGTTAAACAAGTTAATTAGCATTTAAATAAAGGAAGGCCAGCTTCTGTCTCTATATTATTCCCATATATGTATGCTAAAAAAAATAACTAAAATAGCCACGGCAACACAAAAATGATGTATTGTTGGGTACACAGTAACACATATTGTACATGGTATAGAACAGTAGCGATTTGGAACCTTACTGGAGCCAAAAGGGTTCTGTTCAATATCTAATAAGAGGCAGCAGGTGTCTGGGCCCTACTCATTAGAGCCTACTCTGTGTTCGAGAAGAGGAGGTATGAAGGCTATACTAGAGCGTACTATTTATTGGAAACGGATGATATGAGGGTCCTTCTTGTTAGCGCTTACGATCTAAAACAAAACACGGATATATGGGGTTCTGCTCAGTGCAGTTTTCTGATAGGTATCAGGAAGCATGAGCAGGCCCTGTTGGGGCTTACTGTCTAGTACAGAACAAAAGGTATGAGGGTTCTCCTCAGAGCTTACTATCTGATAGGTAAAAGGATGCATGAGGGTCCTGCTCTTTAGAGCTTACTGTATAATATTAAACAGAAGATATGTGGGATCTGCTCATTAAAGCTTACTATCTAATAGGGAACAGAAGATATTAGGGGCCCGCTCAGTAAGGTTCACAGTCTCATAGGGAAAAAGAAGGTATGAGAAGCATGCTCAATAGAGCTTATGATCTGATGGGGAAGAAGAGATAAAAGGATCCTGCTCATTGGCACCCACTGTCTAATAGGAAGGAGTAGGTATGAGGGCATCATATAAGCCCATTAGAGCTTACTATCTGATAAGAATGGGAGAATATGGCGGCCCTGCTCATTAGAGCTTGTTATCTAATAATAATAAATGGAAATGAAAATATGAGGGCTTTGCCCAATAGAGCTTACTATCTAATAAGGAAAGGAGAGTATGACAACCCTGCTCATTAGAGCTTGTTATCTAATAAAGAATGGAATAGAAAATATGAGGGCTTTGCCCAATAGAGCTTATTATCTAATAAGGAAGGGACAGTATGACGACCCTGCTCATTAGAGCTTGTTATCTAATAAAGATTGGAATAGAAAATATGAGGGCTTTGCCCAATAGAGCTTACTATCTAATAAGGAAGGGAGAGTATGGCGACCCTACTCATTAGAGCTTGTTATCTAATAAGGAATGGAACAGAAAATATGAGGGCTTTGACCAATAGAGCTTGCTCTCTAAGAAGAAAATAGAAGTAGGAGGACCCTGCTCATTAGCACTTACTACCTAAAGGAAAGCAGAAGGTATGAGGGCTCTGCTCATTAGAGCTTATGTTCTTCTAGGAAAGAGGAGGTATGAAGGCCCTGCTCATTGGCACCTATTATCTAATAAGTAGAGTGTATGAGGACCCTGCTTATTAGAACCCAAAATCTATTTCGGAGGAGGAAGAAAAAGGGCCCTGCTCATAGGGAACAATAGGTATGAGGTCCTGCTGTTTAGAGCTTACAATCTAATAGGATAGAGTTTTTGGGGCCCCTACACATTAGACTCCTAATAGGTAACAAAGCGCATCAGAGAAGTCTTTGTTGAAGCCTACTGTCTAATACGGAACGCATGCAAAGCGTTTTCAAGCTACTCAAATGGCCAAAACACTGAACACAGGATGTTCCTACCAAGCTTGTCACACACACTAATGACCAATTCACACCTCAGACCTCTCCCACCCTTGGAAACAAAAGATATGTTAATGAGCATTCACACCTCAAATTCCTCATGAAGACCCCCTGCCAGGTGCCCTTAATGACTCCCTCCACCAGACACCTTTCCCACCCTTGGAAACAAAAGAAATGTTAATGAGCAACTCACACCTAAGCTAATCTCAACACATACTGCTGTCTCTACTTCTACTCTCTGTATTTCTCTGAAACAGTCTGAAATAGTTAATAATTTACCACTTTTCAGTGCATTCTGGGCATTCGGGAGGTTCTCCTGTGCTTATCTTTAAAAACGCTTTAAAACGCAAACGCTCATAAACGCGGCTAAACAGCCGTTTTTTAACCTACGTTTTCCAGCAGTTTCCATCGTCCAGAAGTGTCCCGTGTACATGGGGCCTAATAAGGAACAGAAGATATGAGGGTCCTGCTCTCATTAAAGCTTACTATCGAATATGGAACAAAACGTATTAGGGTGCTGGTTTTAAGAGTTTACAATATAAAAGAAAATAGACACAAGGGACCTGCTCTTTTGAGCCTGCTGTCTAATACGGAGCCTGAGATATGAGGGTTGTGCTTATTAAAGCATTTTCAGTTGCTGACTTTAGCTTCTAGAAATTTTACATGCCTGGCTGTCCTGCTGATGCATTGGTTTTAATATTTTGAGTCACTGACCCAAAAGCATAAAGATGCTACATTCTAAATTTATCCAGCTTTCATTTGCTGCAAGCCTAATTGCCTAGTTGGCCGGTCAACTAGTTCTTCAGTAGGAGGCCAGCATAAAAAGTGTGTTTTTATGGTGTTTAGGAGAGCAGATAAGACCAAAGTATCCTGCAGAATAAGTAAATTAGGACCAATAAACACTGGTGGAGGTGTGTATGGAATGGGGATGATGGATGGAACAGTGTATACATTGTATGAGAATGGGAAGAACTTGAGGTATCAGATGACTGGAGACCATGATGGGCTTCTTTGAGAGCTGTGTTTTGATGGATGATGATGGATGGAACAGTGTGCACATTGTATGAGAATGGGAAGAACTTGAGGTATCAGATGACTGGAGACCATGATGGGCTTCTTTGAGAGGTGTGTTTTGATGGATGGAACAGTGTACACATTGTATGAGAATGGGAAGAACTTGAGGTATCAGATGACTGGAGACCATGATGGGCTTCTTTGAGAGGTGTGTTTTGATGGATGATGATGCATGGAACAGGGTGCACATTGTATGAGAATGGGAAGAACTTGAGGTATCAGATGACTGGAGACCATGATGGGCTTCTTTGAGAGGTGTGTTTTGATGGATGATGATGGATGGAACAGTGTGCACATTGTATGAGAATGGGAAGAACTTGAGGTATCAGATGACTGGAGACCATGATGGGCTTCTTTAAGAGGTGTGTTTTGATGGATGGAACAGGGTGCACATTGTATGAGAATGGGAAGAACTTGAGGTATCAGATGACTGGAGACCATGAAGGGCTTCTTTGAGAGGTGTGTTTTGATGGATGATGATGGATGGAACAGTGTGCACATTGTATGAGAATGGGAAGAACTTGAGGTATCAGATGACTGGAGACCATGATGGGCTTCTTTGAGAGGTGTGTTTTGATGGATGGAACAGTGTACACATTGTATGAGAATGGGAAGAACTTGAGGTATCAGATGACTGGAGACCATGATGGGCTTCTTTGAGAGGTGTGTTTTGATGGATGATGATGGATGGAACAGTGTGCACATTGTATGAGAATGGGAAGAACTTGAGGTATCAGATGACTGGAGACCATGATGGGCTTCTTTGAGAGGTGTGTTTTGATGGATGGAACAGTGTACACATTGTATGAGAATGGGAAGAACTTGAGGTATCAGATGACTGGAGACCATGATGGGCTTCTTTGAGAGGTGTGTTTTGATGGATGATGATGGATGGAACAGTGTGCACATTGTATGAGAATGGGAAGAACTTGAGGTATCAGATGACTGGAGACCATGATGGGCTTCTTTAAGAGGTGTGTTTTGATGGATGGAACAGGGTGCACATTGTATGAGAATGGGAAGAACTTGAGGTATCAGATGACTGGAGACCATGAAGGGCTTCTTTGAGAGGTGTGTTTTGATGGATGGAACAGGGTGCACATTGTATGAGAATGGGAAGAACTTGAGGTATCAGATGACTGGAGACCATGATGGGCTTCTTTGAGAGCTGTGTTTTTTAGGGAGATATTAAAGAATGTTACCGATTCTTCTTCTGCCGCTCATTTTTGGGGGACTCCTGATTGCTTATGTGTCTATTATCATGTTTTGTTAACAGCTAAATAAACATCATTTTAAAAAAAAAGTATTCCCGGGTGGTCTATGTTTGTGTCCCAGAACCTTCAAGTGCTGATGCATGGTCTCCTTTTCTATTCACAGTCTGTTTTATTTTTTTTCTTCCAGGTCAACAGGGAAATTGTATCTGGGCTGAAATATGTAATGCATACCTTCAAGACCGGAATTAAAGGTAACTTTTCTAATAAAAATAACATGTATTAAATGAAATGGGTAACAATCTAAACTTTCTCAGCATAGCTACTTTGAAAAAAGTTATTTTTATCTTTCCAAGTTCATAAGCACTCCACATTGCGTAAAGCAAAAACCCCATTCAAAGCTTTGTTTCAGTATTTTCATGGCTGCTGGCCAGCAATCTCTTGCTGTCTTCTTTAGTCTCTGAGACTGCAAGAGTTTGATTTTTAAGGCTTCCATTTTCACCCATCTGCTGCTACAATTCCAATGCCTAATGATGGCACCCTGTTATATAATTACATTGACCACCCTGTTATAGAGTATTGTTACATTGGCCACCCTATTATATAGTTACATCTGATTCAAGAAACATTGTTGGCTGTGTGGATTTGTCAGATATCCAGCAATAGTCCTGCTGTAAGAAATTCACACCTTCATTGAGGCCTTGTGAAGGGGAGGAGATACAGAAAGTATTACAGGGAAATCTTGAAACTGTAAAATCCATGAGAACAAATAACTGGCATTTGTTTAAACCAAAGATTGGGCAAGGCTTTAGATAAGGAAAGTGAGCATTATAATAAGCCCCAACTGACCTCTTTAGCTGCAGCCGCTGTGGAACAATTAATTCTTAAAGAGCATAATGGAGGCACCGTAGTCTAGTTCTAATCCGTTTATATGTGTGTGTGTGTGTGTGTGTGTGTATATATATGTATATGTATATATATGTGTGTGTGTGTACAGTGTATAAAACTGTATGTTTCCTTTTAAACTAGATCAAAAATAGTCAGTTTAAAAATAAAACATTTTCTTTTTGCCAACAGTTGACAAAGAGACGCACATGGTTGGCAGCTACGGGCCTCGGAGCGAACCGTATGAATTCCTAACGCCACAAGAGGATGCTCCAAAAGGAATGATTGCCCGCGGGAAGTATACCATTAAGTCCTACTTCACAGATGACGACAAAACCGACCACTTGTCCTGGGATTGGAAATTGGATATAAAAAAGGAGTGGAAGGACTAGATCAGGGGGGAAAAAAACCCACCATGACTTCGTCGTCATCTTAATTAGGGGAAAATAATGATTCTGCATATTAAAAATGTACAAGATTTATTATGGTTTCTACATCTGTTTTCTAATTGTTTTCTTGTAGTTTCTAAGAAAAAAAAAACAATATACAAACATGTAAAGACATTATTTAATAAAGAGAAAACTTTAACAAACTTCTTATGTGGCACTGTAAAAGGTTTTTGACAAAAAGAACGAATGTAGGATATTGAACACGTAGCTTTCCTATCGGATGCAGACTGGTACCTCCTGTTTTTATGCTTCACTGAGAATCTTTCACTTTGGGGCATTTCAATGGACATATTTTAAAGGGTAGCTCCGCACATTTGGATCAGTGTTGGTGGCTTAAAGTGGGAGTCCGCTTTTGATTTTGGGTAGAGTAGGGAAGAGTAAGACCTTCTGCTGTGCTCATTACTTCCTGTTCTGGAGATCATGTGGGCAATGTCTCCATCAGGGACACAGAGCAGTAAAAGCCTGCCAGAGGTTTAGATGGCTTTCCAACTCCTTCCAGCAAATGGCATCATTGTACTGCCTGCTGCAGCATGCCAACAACAGGGCACTGGAGGTATAGTATGGGACAAGCATGTACTATGTGCCTAGTCTCCACAAGCCCTTCTATTCACTCAACACAGCCCTTTTTTGCTTGAGAATAATATATTTCACCTATTTTATTCATGTTATTTACCTGTTAAAGCCTCCTATGTGTAGACATCCAGTGGCCCAGGGACTGCTGTTGGGTGCCGCCATCTTGGAAGTGACATTCTATAAAAGCCTTTCCCTTTTTACACCAAAGAAACCATAAAATACTTTTTAGGTCTTGGGGAACCCATGCTAAAACCAATTCATTGGAGAGCAATGGGGAAAATGCCCCCTACATTGCTGGTCAGTAGGAGGAATGCAACCTTACAGTGGTGGTCAGAATGCCACCCTTACAGACCACTGTAAGAGATTGTTGGTGTCATGCTACTGGCTTTGCCAAGTGGTAAAGGCAGCATTGGATGGGGAGGGGGGGGGTCAAGCATCCACAGCTCAAAGAACCCCCAGCAACCTCTTGAAGAATCCTTGGGTTCAATGAAACCCTGGTTGAATGGCTGCTCTGTAGTATTCCCCTTCACTCTTTCTGCACCTGCTCCATAAAAGGGTATATAGCAAGGAGCTGGGCCAGCACAGACAACAATTAGACATTTCCAGAGGAGGAAAGAGGGTTGGACTCCGCACTTAATGAAATTTTCACTCCTAAGATGCTGCTCAGTAATTCCACACAATTGCACTTATTTTGCTGTTGGGTGCGCTCCTACACCTTCTCACTTTCAGTGTCTTTTAGGACCTCACAGGCCTGGACTCATGATGCAGAGGGTGATGGGGTGGAGTTGCGGGCAGTCAGCCTGAAGAAGCCCTGGAGACACCCAGAAGTGGTAGAGGTGTCACAAATGAGGCGACTACTCAAAATGAAGGTCAATTTAGGCCATATCCTGATATGAAAGCACTCCCTCTCTGCTTGACAACTGGGCTCCCTTTCCTACGGACTACATAATGGCTGCAATTATGACTTTGCATTTGAAAATAATGCTGAGCAGCATTTCCCCTTTCTTTTCATTAATGGCTCTGAGGCGTATTATGAATAATTTGGCAGAGAGAAAAGTTTAATGGCTCAGCATAGTTTTTTAGAGTTATTGATTGAGTCTAAGTACCTAGAGAAGAGGCATTGATTTTTAATGGTCACTGGACTGCCTAAAATGTACCGAACTTGAGTTTAAGGAGACCAGTCATGTTTTCACTGATGCAAGCATCTGCCGATTCAGCCTTAGGGCTCATCCTTGGAAAAAAAAAAAAAAGTTTGTAAATGTCTACGCAGCTTTGTGTTAAAGCTTAATCGAACTTTCAGTTTAAATTGGTTAAATACTTTCTAGGTGCAAGAAAAGGAATTATGTTCAGTCATGAGCAGAAAAGCCTGTCCCCTACCAGCATGCTTCAGAATAGAATTTTTAGAAGCAGTGGTCTCTCTGCAGCAGTCCAACACGCACCCTGCTTAGTCAAAGCTAGAGATCGTTATTTATCAAAGCTTTTGGCCCCTGCATATTGGAAAGCTCTAGCCACCGCCCTTTGCTGATGCCAACAGAGAAACAGGGCACACCTAGAGCTTTCCATAAGTGCTGCACCCTCCAGAGCCTAGATCTTTCATGGAGCCCAGTTAACCAGATGACCGCCTTGTGATGCCCGACTTTCATGCCGAGCCGTAAACCAGGCTTCACCCCAAACAGCCCCCTATACCAATCTTCAACCAGTAAGGACTCCAAGGGTAGGACAGCTACCCTAAATCCCCACAGGTCACATAACCAGTCTTCACCCCAAAAGCCTCCTGCACCAATTTTCAGTAAGGTTTCCCATGGTAGGAAAGCCACCCTAAATCCCTGCAGGTCACATAACCAGGCTTCACCCCAAAGAGCTTCCTGCACCAATTTTCAACCAGTACGGATTCCCATGGTAGGAAAGCCACCCTAAATCCCTGCAGGTCACATAACCAGGCTTCACCCCAAAGAGCCCCCTTTACCAATCTTCAACCAGTAAGGACTCCAAGGGTAGGACAGCCACCCTAAATCCCTGCAGGTCGCATAACGAGGCTTCACCCCAAAGAGCCCCCTTTACCAATTTTCAACCAGTAAGGACTCCAAGGGTAGGATAGCCACCCTAAATCCCTGCAGGTCACCTAACCAAGCTTCACCCCAAAGAACGTCCTGCACAAATTTTCAACCAGTAAAGATTCCCATGGTAGAAAAGCCACCCTAAATCCCTGCAGGTCACATAACCTGGCATCACCCCAAAGTGCCTCCTGCACCAATCTTAAACCAGTAGGGATTCCCATGGTAGGAAAGCCACTCTAAATCTATGCAGGTCACATAATCAGGCTTCACCCCAAAGAGCCCCCTTACCAATTTTCAACCAGTAAGGACTCCAAGGGTAGGAAAGCTACCCTAAATCCCTGCAGGTCACATAACCAGGCTTCACCCCAAAGAGCCTACTGCACCAATCTTCAAACAGTATGGATTCCCATGTTTGGAAAGCCACCCTAAATCCCAGCAGGTCACATAACCTTTTAATGGAGACCTGTCACCTCTTACCAACCATAATGGTAACCCTCATGTTCCCCTCACTCAGGCTACGTTCACACATAGCATCTTGTGAATGCACATTTTTGCGTTTTTTTTTTTTTTGTTTTGTTTAGTTTTTGTGCATTTTCATGCTACACACATAGGTCAGAGCATTCATTTCACTGGGCTGACCTACGTGGGACAAGTGCGCCAAGAGAGCTGATGTACCTTTCTGGATGTTGAGCTTTGCCACGTTTGTCATGCGTTTTGATGCACATGAAGACACACGTGCTTGCTGCTTTTGGGGTGCCAATAACATTGAAAGGCACTGTATGTGCAACACTTTTGTGTTTTGTGAACCTGTATGAAAATGTGCTTTTGTGCGCATTCATGAAATGTTCAGGTGTGAATGCAGCCTCAATGTACAGCGCATTACTTGGATCATCAGAGCCCAGCTTCGGCTAAATGCTGTCTGGTAATAGCAGGAGCGCCGTGTTCCTGTGGCAGTCACGAAGCATCCAGAAGATGATTTCGAACCACTTACACAAATGGCAGAAAAGTGCCGAGGCGAAGCTCCATTTGCTGAGCTCATTATCTCCTGCCTGTGTGCCAAATTGCAAGAACAAAGCAAACTAAGGATGCAGAGGTTACCGAGAGCTCTCCAGGTCTGAGAATAGCACAGCAAACCCTTTATTAAATGCCATATTCCTGATAAAAATCATTAAAGCGGAGCTCCAGTTAAAGCTAAAGAAAAGTCACCAGCTGCAAAAACTGCAGCTGCTGACTGAAAAAACAGCCACATACCTGTCCCACAATCCCACGATGTGGCACTGGTCATCCTCGCTCCTCAGAGCCAGCTTGTGGCTTCACAGCCGGGTGCCCACTGCGCATGCACGAGTAGATCTGCGCCCTGTGAATGGTCTCGTCTTCTGAGACCCGTCACGTGTCCCAGAAGACTACGGGTAGGGAGGGAGGGAGGACAACTTCTGCTTCCGATCATCTAGGTGGGGAAGTGGGAGTGGGCATCTGTCAAAATCAGATACCCGCTCCCCAAAGGTGCCAGTTCCTCATGGGGCGTGGGGAACCAGTACTTAAAGTGGAACTTCCTCTTTTGGGTGGAGCTCTGCTTTAAACATAAATACAGCTAGTACAAGTAGCTGAATGTGTTCTTATTTTTCCTTCCTATAACCCTCTGGACTACAGAACTGGGAGTGGCTACACTCCCAGCCAATCCCATTGCACTGTGATGTAATTTTTAATAATCTGAGCACAGAAATTACCACATTGGCCTGGAGACACACCTTGATTATGTCCAATTAGCCAACTCCTGGCGGTGAAGGGGGAGGGATTGTTAGTGACCAAGTTGTATTGGTCAGCTTTATGTGAGAAAAGTCAAGTCAGTGACCTGGCTATGTTTTCTAGAATTAAAAATGCACCAATTGAAGGAGCTCCAGACCAAATGATAGAAGAGTCCAAATTAATGTATTGGTTTGCACTAAAAGACAGACGTGTTTCATGGGCCAGAAACCAATCCCCTTATTGGGCTAAAAATGGAGCCAAGTATTTATCTTTCATAAGTACCTCAGCCTCATTACATTAATATACAACCAATGTCGAAACCTTTTTTTCAGTTGTGTATAGAATAAGGGAAGGTTATAACCCCTGTCAGTTTTTTTTATACCTATGGGGATATTTTCCTTCACTTCCTGTGCTAAAACAGGAAATGAGAGGAAATCCCTCCAAGGTGAGGGACTCTTTGGTTGTCACCAGAATTTGTGTCCCATTGGAAGATTTCACATCCATTCCTGCTCTGGGAACCAAAATTTCGGATTTTCTTTCACTTTCGATAATAATGGTCATCAGGAC